GCCTTCAAAATGAAATACAGTTACACCAAAAAATTAAAGCGTTGGAATTCTTTACCTATTCCACCACCGAAAAACTGGGTGAGATTACGTTAAAATGTGTGACCACGTCACTGGTCACACATTCTAACGTAGTCTCAAACTTTGATAGATCACATGCCTACCTGTAATCATTTAATCAGAGAAATAGATTATAATAGGGAACATTACAGTCTAATATTCCCCATTATAATCCACTTGTCTAATTACAAGAAAAAGCATGAAATAGCTGTACACAACTACTATCCCCCCCCCGCCACATATCTATGACCCCTTTACAACCCCCCATCCACATATCTATTACTCCTCTACAACCCCTGTACTCCATGTATTACTTACTCATGACCCCTGTAATCCATGCGTTTCTTGCTCCTGACCTCTTTATTCCATGTGTTACCTACTCCTGACCCCTGCACTCTGTAATGTATGTTACATACTCCTGATTCCTGCTCTCTGCTTCATGCAATCCTGACCCCTGCACTCCATACGTTATACAACTTTTGACACCTGAAGTCTGTGCATTACTCCTGATCTGTGCACTCTGTATTCACATGCTCGACCCATAGTAGAGTAGGCTCAGGGTTTATTTAACCATGTATCATTAGCCGCTCCCACTGTAAGCACAACTTGACTGCATGCATGATTCACCACAGCGCATTGTACACGACACAGTATTTCACTCCTTGTAGTGTCCAGGGCACTTGGTCCTTATATCCTCAGTGTCTGCTTCCTCTTCCAGAAGTCAGTGACCAATTGTTTCAGGGCATGCTAAAAATGGTGGTGTGATTTTATGGGTGTGGCACAAATGGGGGTGTGGTTTATGGGTGTGGGTACAAGTGGGCATGGTCAGTATGATGTCCCAGGATTTCATTTTGAAAATTTGGTAACCTTACCCTGGGGGTCTGTACACCTAGAACCTGGTTTTGTGTCTGTGAATTTGGATCTTTTCTGATGATGTAGGAATGGTTCCCATTCTGTCCCTGCAAGTCTGTTTCACATGAACTCCCTTCACATAAACATGCATTTCAGCCAAGCGTGCATGCGTATCCAATGCACAGACACCCCTTTAAAAATCATGGAGGGAATGCTAATCTATCGACGGTGGGCGAGGGGGATGACATCAGACAGTTGTCCCTGGGGACAGGTAATCCCAAAAGTGTATATCTACAGTATGAAGTATAGTAACGGTTTATGGCTGTGATAAGGGAATACTGACATCCAGTGGTTAGTGTTATTGAGATGTATTTGTTTATATATTTTTCGTTTAAAAAATGAATGTGCACGGCCAGTATAAAGGAAACAAGTCTATTTTTAGTGAGTGGTTATTGTAATGGTGAACTTTCACATTATACGTGCTTGCTGTGCCATATCTTTAGGATTGTATTTTATTTAATGAACTTGTAGGTTTTTACTTGCTGGCTGTATTTTATTTATCAAATATGCAAATTTCTTTTAAGTGGAGCCGTGGGTGGTCAGCAGCACCCATCTCAACAAATTTCAACTGAAGAATCGAAGGAGCTGGGCGGAAAAAATACAGCTCAACAGCAGCTATATTCAATTAGATGCAGTCACTGTCCTGGTATTCAGAAAGCAGCAAGTGCCTGCTGTCTGAATACAATAGCTGGAAGAAGCGATTTCTCCATCTATGCTGTTTAGCGTGGATGGGAGGAATAGATGGATTTCTCACATAGCTTACAGGCCTGAACACGAGCAATCTAAGCGTTTATGGCTAGCATTAGTCTCCCTGATTAACAACTGCAGAAAGAAGATCTCATTGTTTTTATTCTGGTAGAATTGAATTAGTAAAGAGTAATTGCAAGGAACATTCATTGTGAAGCATTATTAAGCAGGGAGAGTGAAATATGACTGCTTCTATATACGTACATACAGTTACATATAATTAGGAACTATGCACAAAAAGCCAACAAGTGCCTCCTGTTATAGAGGATGGCTGTCAAAGGAGGTTCAATTTACTGGCTGTCATGTGTGGGCATTTGATACTGGTGTTTTTGGGAGCCTACAGTACCTACTCCTTCCTTGAGGTCCCTAACCAGTCTAAGGATTTAACAAAACTGTCACGTTTACCATTGAGGGCAAATAAAAGGGTTCTTGCGGAAGAAGAACCCCCAGAGCTTTCAGGTATGGAGAAGCATGTGACCTCCTCACAGAATGCACTGCTTTAGGCCTCAGCAGCCAATCACCAGGCCCAAACACTGTCATACGAAGAGAGGTTTACACTGTGTAAGCTCCAATACAATCCCAGCTTACAAAGGGATTTAGTGTTCCAAGGGAGCAGCAGGGGAATTCACAGAAGGGGGGTATCAGAAGGGAGGTTCTTCCTACAGCGGAACCTGTCACTTTGTCCTTAATGGGCAAATTAACAAAACCTCTTTAAAATGGATGTTTCACTGTTTTCTATAATTCAATATGGTGATGCTTCCATCCATTATCTTATAGTTTGGTGACTTACATTTTTTTATCTATCAGATGTGTACTTTTATAAAATGTATTAAAAAAACAAAACAAAAAGGGAACAGAGTGCCACCTCCGTGTGCAAACGATTTTACACACGGAGGTGGCGCTCTGTTCCCTTTTGTTTTTTATGTTCATGAGGGAACCCCCGGAGCTTTGAATGAGCAGCCCATCAAGTCTGCGTGAAAAACTGTGATAAACTGTTGAAAACTTTGATTATGCAACAGCAAGTGAATTGTTCAGCTGGCAGCCATTAGCACCAAGAGTTAAAGAAAACTGTTTGTCTGATGTATTAAAAACCAAAGCTTTATCATTGGTATGCTGATTCTGAAAGAAATCACATAACATTTCAGTTATGTTAGTGCAACCCTCAGTAGAACGAATGTGGCACTTCCTGGGGTATCTTTTCCAGATTTAGCAGCTTATTCCATCAGAGTCTGATATGCCCGCTCTATGCGTAGCTTTAAAGCTGCCCTGCTATGTACACAGTAGCATCATATGATCAAGGACAAATTGTACAAACATAACATTCACATAATGTGAAAAGAAAATATGGTATTGAACTAGAAACTACAAATGCATTGCACAGTAAACACATTCAAGCTGACTTGTACTCTACCTATTTTATATTGGAAGACGAATCTTACCTCAAGAAGACCATCTGCAGTGCTCAGACAAATATCATAAAAACACAAAAAGAAATGCAACCAAATGACAAGCCTACACAATGACTTTGTAACCGTCCCTACCAATATGTCTATAGAAACTAGAAATACCAGATAACAAGAATTAATTTATTGAAAAACTCTAACAAGGGTGTAACAAGAGATGCAAGTCACAGGGACTAATATAACTCTTCTCATTTATAAGCTGTGCAATATATCCGTCCTGCTTATGAATCTGTAATTATTAGCTTGATATTGCTGTTTAGCGCACTGCTCATGGGTGTGAGGTTTGTCTATCACTGTGGATAGCTAAATTTATTGCCGATTTCACCATCTGCACAAAATATAAAGACAGAAAAAAGTATAGTTATAGTCTTCTAGTATGTATAATTTCTAGGTTTTTGGATAGGATCCCAGTGGCTAGGACAGGTATCCAGCAAAATGCTATTGTATAGATCAGCCTCTCTCAGCCAGGGTTATGTGGAAAACTAAGGTTCCTCAAGAGGTTGCTGGGGTTCCTTGAAGTAGCGAGCAGTGGTGGATGGGCCTCCAGCTGGGTAGTTCCAGAGTCATTGTCACTCAGCAGAGCCAGAGGCATGGGGCCTGTACATAACCAACACCAATAATTTTTATAGATATCTATAAAGTGCCACATTCCCACTGACTGTAATGTAGCTGGGAATTTTTCTGACCATTTGTCAGGACATTTTCCCATTTCTACCAGTGTAAGAAGCCCCCTTTTCAACTAATACTCCAGGCAGATATATATTAAAAAAACAAACACATTACAAACAAAGAAAAGCAATTTGGGCTGCCTGCCGCCTGGTCGACAAACCACTTATATATCATGATTTGATTCATTACTGTACATTGTACCATATTACCATAAACCCATTTTGTTCTCATGACACCGTACTGGTTTTGAACAAATGCTTTGTTAAACTCCAGATGTATGAAATATATCTCTATTTCTCTCTAAGAAAAACATTAAATGCTGCTTGTTTTATTACCTGAATTTGACTTGGCATTAGCCTCTTGCAACTCCTGGTACATCAGGGGAGAGGAAGGAGAAGGATCGGGGGCCAATCAGGTATATTACATGCACAAATGTTGGGAAGGTATAATAGGGTAGGACCAGAGTGAGTAAAGGGGTGACCTCATTCTGATGCTGTCCTTTCACTGTCTAAACTAGCTTGGGGGGAGGAATGAAAAAGGACACCACTGATCAATTATGTTAAGCAGGTGGTCTTCTCTATTGACCAACGATGTACGGGGAGCTTTTTTCTACTGACCAACGATACATGGGGGCACTGCATTTTTTTTTTCTGGTAATTACCATTTATTTCATTCCAATTTGCCAATTATCACTGAAGATAATTTTGTTGAGTGGGGGGAAATGATTCTCTCTGGTTGTCAAATACCCTAGGTACACCACATTTACAGCTTATGAATCACGCTAATGTACTATAAGATGTAGAATTATATTTGGTAGTTTTTCAAGGATTTAAATGATTATGTTCATTCCAGTTTTTATCAGCAAGGAATTGTGGGAAGACTGTACACTGAGCTGCGCTTGTAGACAGGCAAAAAAAGTGCGACAGGCTAAAAGGAGGATCTATGACAGAAAATAATTGTACAATCTCTTTTGTCATAAAAAGCCTGCCTGTCAGCTCTTTTAAAATGAAAGACTTCCATTTTAAGAAACAATGGTGTCGATGGCGTGATAGGCAGTCACAGAAGGTTGTAGCCAGTATTTGTAGGATCATGTAAATAATTATTTTTAATGCATGAACATGTGCTAAAACCGTCTCTTGTGCTTTTTTGCAGGTTCTAAACCTGACCATGGAAAGGCTGGCAATTTATTTGCTGATTATAAGCACATCTGCAAAGGCCATGATGTGCCCTAAGAGATGTTCCTGTCAGAATGTCTCTCCATCTTACACTATCCTCTGTACCAAGACCGGCCTTCTATTTGTGCCCCCCACCATAGACAGGAGGACAGCAGAGCTTCGACTCATGGACAATTTCATAACCACTCTTCGAAGGAAAGATTTTGCTAACATGACGGACCTCATTCACTTAACACTCTCGCGAAACACCATTAGTCAGGTCATGCCTTATGCATTCTTTGACCTAAAAGGGCTCCATGCCTTGCATTTGGACAGCAACCGGTTAAGCTTTGTCAGTGAAGAACATTTTAAAGGTTTACTAAACCTCCGACATTTGATCTTGAGTAACAATCAGATCCATTACATAGCTCCAGGATCATTTGATGACTTTATCGACACCTTGGAAGATCTGGACTTGTCCTACAACAATCTTGTTGACATTCCTTGGGAGACTATCGGGAGGCTATCCAGTGTTAATACAGTTGGTCTTGATCATAATCTCATTGAATATGTTCCTGAGGGAATCTTCTCCAATCTCCATAAACTGGCCCGATTGGATATGACCTCTAACAAACTAAAAAAGATACCACCGGACCCATTATTTTCTAGGATCCCTGTTTATGCCAAATCAAAAGGATCTCCCTTAACATCATTGGTGCTCAGCTTTGGCGGGAATCCTCTTCATTGTAACTGTGAACTGGTGTGGCTTCGACGGCTTACCAGAGAGGATGACTTGGAAACATGCGCCTCGCCCTCTGAGCTAATGGGTAAATATTTCTGGTCAATAAAAGAGGAGGAATTTGTTTGTGACCCTCCTATGATAACTCACCGAACTTCAAAGCTGGAGGTCATGGAAGGCAAAAGTATCTCATTAAAATGCAAAGCAGTAGGTGACCCTGAACCTTATGTTAGATGGATTTCTCCTGATGGGAAGCTGGTCTCCAATACCACTAGGACTATGTCATATGACAATGGAACTTTAGACATTTTCACCACCAGGTTTACAGATCGTGGAAATTATACCTGCATTGCATCCAATGCTGCAGGGGAATCAACTGCAAACGTGGAGCTCATAGTCAACCAATTCCCCAACCTTGCAAACAGCACCAGCTATGAGAAGGAAACAGAGTCAGGGCTTTCTGATATCCTGACGCCTGCCAAGTCTAGCATTCCATCCAATGAAACGAAATCTCTGCATGATAGGAAGGTTGTGGTTGCAGAGTTGACCTCATCCTCGGCACTCATCCAATGGCCTCCCCAGAGTCACATCCCAGGGATAAGGATGTACCAGATTCAGTACAACAGCTCATTAGATGACATCCTCATTTACAGGTAATTCTGGTCAGCTAAGAGCAAAAGGCAAATTACTATAGAACAAGTCTCAAGCAATGCAGGCAGATGGGTTAATGACCACAGTATCATTATAAGGTTTAGAGTCAGAGACTTTAGTCAGAACAAAGTGGCTCATTTATAAAACGGACAGAAAGGAGATTTTTTTTCATAACATTTTCTCTTTTTCTTTGTTATATACAATGCAGGTCATTTAAAAGAAGCATAGTTTGTAAACATGAAAGTAACTTAAAGTAAACCTGTCATCTATTTTATATTTAAATGCTCTTTGTTATCTATTATTCAGAAAAGTCTTCCTTTATGTCTCTATGATTTGGTTTTCCTTTACTACGAGAAACCTTACTTTTGGGCAAAGCCATGACTATTTGCCATTCCTCTGTTCAATTAGAGTACTTTAGTAGCTATTAAAGTGACACTAAACTCACTATTACCCTTTTTAAGCAGAATTGACCCTCTCTGATTTAGTTTGCTACTAGAGGGATAACTGACTTCCCTGCTAAACCCACCCACTTGCACCTCATCAAATAAAAGTGTACTTAAAGTGACAATAAATCAAGGAGTTAAATCTTAAAAACGCATTCAACTACCTTAACCATTAACAAAAATGTATCTTATTTGAGCATCACTCAGCTGTAGATCTTTAGATTATCTCTGAATTCATGCTGACTCTGTCCTTCCTTCTGGAGGGTGGCTACTTTTGTTCCCCATGGTTCTTGTGTGTGTTGTAAAGTAACCACCGCTCCAAGCTCGTAAGATGGACTACAATCTAATGTTTAGTTTACTTTACAACACACACAAAAGTAGCCACCCTCCAGAAGGAAGGACAGTGTCAGCTTGAATTCAGAGATGATTTGAGGATCTACAGCCGAGTGATGCTCAAAAAGGCTACATTTTTGTTAATAGTTAAGGTACTTGAATGCATTTTTAAGATTTAACTCCTGAGTTTAGTGTCACTTTAAGTACACTTTTAGTTGATGAGGTGCAGGTAGATGGGGCTTAGCAGTCAGGTATCCCCCTAGTAGCAAACTAAATCAGAGATGACCATTTCTTTTTTGTAGGGTCACATTAAAAAATAGACAAATTGCATATAAGGTGTGCATTTGAGGAATTATAAACTACATTTTGGTAATAAAAATAAAAATCTTATTGTTTTCTATGTAAATAGGGTGAAAATAGGTTCAGTGTGTAGGTTACCACAAGCCACCTGGAAGTCCAGGGTAAAATATGTATGCAGTTTATAACAATGGCCACCAGTGATGAAGAGGCTTTTCTTCAAGCATAACAAATGGCAGGTGCCACAGAAATTTCACCAGAAAGGGGTGGCATGCTGAGCAGTGGGTGGGCCCCATCAACATTTGGCTCTAGGGCCCCATTTTAAGTTACAATCCTAGGATTTAAAATCCAGTATTGAGTAGATTTTCACTTTGAGACAAAATGACATGGATAACAGGCTCAATATGAACGCAAGGAAAGAGAAACAAACTAAATAGGGAAACAAGAACCTGAGCGTGGTGACTAAATTAGAGATCCAAGGGTCCAGATAGAATCAAATTTGCCTTAATGATCCAGCCAATGCTGCCAGATATTCTTGGAAGCAGATATTGTTGACTGTTGTTAGAACTTGCAGCCAGAAGAGGGTCAGAGCTTGGCAATCAATGGGAAGGTATTATTACCTTGTTTTTTTGTTTAAAAAAAGTTTTAACCAGATGTATTTTGCTTTCGCTACTTTAAGCTCTAAAATCACTTAATATGTTCACCTGCAAAAATCCCACTGGCTATGTGGTATAGTGTGTCACAGATTAAGGCTGCTTAATTGCTGTTGGAATTTCTGAATTTGGTACCCAGAAGGGTGGTTCACAGCATGTTCTGAATTTGATCAGGTCTTGTTTATAACTAGTATGCTGCAATTATGTGTGTGCAGTACCCCATGCTTTCTTGAAGCACCCTGCAAATACCTGGTGTATGTGCGTTACCTTCATTGCTGCAAGCAGTAAACTTCAAAAAATAAGGGCCTAACTCCAGCAAAATCCTTTTATTTTGTTTAGGATAGAGCCGGGCTGTGTAAGAGTCTCTGCCTGGTTTTAATGACAGTCTGTGTCTCTACCAGGGAGATTTCTCTTCCTGGTCAGATTAGGCAACAATACGAAATCTCCCACATGGACACAAAAACACATTTTTAGTCTTCTTGTTCTGGTATTATAAGAACAAGAAGTGAGGTAAAATCTCTGCAGACTGGAATACAAAACTGATGATACAAATGTGAGTTAGAGTGAGAGGCACTGTGATTTGATTATAAATGTCCGGTGTTTGCAGTATGGGTTTCTTTTGTGAGGCTCGATTAAATTATTATTAGCTGCACTTCCACCTACAGGGTCCCCACAGAGGGCAGGAGGGGGGGCCTTGGAGAAGTAAATTAGAACAAAAAATGTAGGTGCCACCAAATGAAGAAGAGGGCAAAAGAGTTTTTATTGGTAACAATAAAGCATAAAGGTAAATGCATTTTGGGGGGAAATATAGCCCCCCTAAATCACTGCTATAAGTATAAAATAAAATGTGTATGTAAATGAAAAAAAACATCAGTTTTGGATAGCGCAAGTAAGGATTAAAACCCCGGGCCAAGTTATTTTTACTGCATGTGTCTCATTGGAGAGATTTTCCTCACTTCCTCTAATGGAGATGCTACAGAAAAGGAGAGGAATTTCCCGAAAGTAATGGAAATGCTCATCTGACAGGTGTCACCAGAACATATGTCCCCTTTGGATTTTTTTTTACTCCCCTCTTGTTCTGGCGACAGCTCTAAAACAATGGTCACCAAGTCAAATAGAGTGGTGACTCTCCCTAGTAGGTATACGGCAAAATACCCTTGACAGAGTATCTAACACTTTCAACATTAATGTTCACAAGCATTAGACAACCGGTCAAATAACAGTTGCACATTGTGTTCCTACTTTGTCTCCAATGTTTGCACTCATAGTTGCCCCAATGTATACACTTCAGACTTCACATCAACCCCAATACAGAAACTTCTAGACCTCGCATTAACCCCAGTGCATAAACTTCAGACTGGAGATCAACCCCAAGCATAAACTTCAGACCTCAAATCAACCCTAATTCATAAACATCTAGACATCAGATCAGCCCCAATGCATAGACCTCAGACCTCAGATTAGTCCCAAATGCAGGCACTTCAGACCTCAGATGAATCCCAAATGCAGGGACTTCAAACCTCAGATCAACTCCAACGCATCAACTTCTAGGCCTTGGATTAGCTCCAAACCCTGTACCTTTAGGAACACAGGGTACCACTGTACGACTGGCATGAGGGTGGCCTACTTCGGAACCACACAGCAATTTCCTCCGCGGCGAGCAGGTATTCAGTGATATCAAGTAGTTATCACCATGATAACATGGAACCTTCCCAGTGATCAATACCCAGGTACCATGATCAATGGTGATGCAGACTGAGGTTATCTGTGGATAGATGGGGATACAGGAGTAAAACACCTGAGACTCTGCCACAGGTGGCAGGCAATGCTGCCTGTCATAATACCACACAGGCTGCACATGACATGTAAGAGAGGTTGACTTAACAGAATACTGAGAATGATGTCATGTGTCACAGTCTGCAGTCATGTGACAAGGGTTTAATTCAGAGCCGTGAGACCACAGGAGTCCCCCTAATACTCCCAACCCCCTTCCATCACTTACCTTGACTTCACACCCCTCACCCTCCACCTCCGGTGTTTGCAGAGCCAGCCTATGTCCATGAAAATCTTGTGAGAACGGAGGATGTCAGCCCATCCGAACACCCAGCGGGGAGGAGCAGGGACTAGTTTGGGTTTTATGGGTAATGCAAAGAAGGTGGGTGGCCCAGGCTTTGAAATTGACAACCTAATAACCTGTCAATTACATGCAATGGCAGTGGCTGCTAGTGCCACTGGCATTAGGGTTTGCCAAAGCCGCATTTAACCCTTTCAGATGCTATAAATGACTAAACAATAATGTTATCCTTTACATTCTCCTTAAATCCTTTTAATATGACAAGAACAGTGTGCACATTGTGGGAACCAGTCACTACCAATTTGCAGCCATCTTTCATTGATGCTATTGCTGTATCTAGTGTATTGTGATAGCTTATTGAATAGATTCATATTTCCACATAAAAGCTTTGAGGCTCTAAAGTTACACTGAAGAAAAAAAAAAAGGCTGAAAAGACCCAAAGTCTGTTGTTCACAAACCTTATTTTCCATCTCACAGGATCCAACTAATTGAGACATTCACGTTTCATAGCTAGAGAGGCTGAATTATTCCTCAAATGCATAGACTCTTAATTCTGAGCAATATAATGGTCCTTCCAGGCACCAACTTCATAAATATTCTCTTTATTCCTACAATGAAATCAGCACAGATATAGATTTTTAGCACTTACTGAATAGAGTAAAAACATTCTTGTGATGGCTCCATATTTTTTGCAGCTGTACAGGAGTTTAATGAGTTTTTACCTGTACACTGTGAGTTATTTAAACGCATCGACCAGTTTGTCAGAGAGTGACATCTTTTCCTCGGATACTCTGTAAACACCTTATACGATCACTATTATATCATTATAATGCTAGATCACTCGGTAATTACAATAATCTCATATTTGTGATACAATGGAGGACAGATAGGGAGCATTCAGAGCTGTCTGAAATATACAACAATTTTCTGTAAGATCACCATGAAGGTATGTATGGTTTTTAGAAGTCTCCTTAAATTGGTATCTGATGTCTGGAGGTGAGGTCCCCTGAACCTTTCCCTTACGCACACAGTTTATTTGATGCGATTGGTGATTTTCATTGATTGAGGAGGTAGCAGAGGCTAGCAGTGGCCACAGACACCTATGAAATTGAGTGGAGTTTGGTTCGGAGATAGATGGTCACACACACATACAACCTCTTTCAGTATATTTTTTTTATATTAAAGCTTGAAATACCCTTTCA